TTTTTTCCGTCTGGGAGTACTGCAGCAGTTGAAAGGGACTTTTTAGCAATGAACTTACAAAAAAACACATTACGTAAGCGTTAAACGCAATTATGAACATCCACCTAAATGGAAAACCCCTTTCGAATTTCTGTGCAGAAACCTCTGTAAATCATAGGCATGATTGTGAAACTGGCAAACGTCATATTTGATTCATTTAAAAAACGCAGTACCCTCGGATAAATTGACATTCCAGATAACTTGACCTTTGTCATATAAGAAATAAATTATTTCATAAAGAAAATACTAGGTTTTACTATTAGTAACCTAGTATTTCTTTTATTACTGTATAATGTAATCCTAGTAGCTACTAATTCATTGTGTAATTTATATAAATGTTTGTAATAAATAAGAAAAAGTAACATTTTTATTTATTTAGAAGCGACGGGTTAATTTCAAAGGCGGACGGGTCCGTTGTTGGACAAGACGTCCTCAGGGTCGGGTAAAATTTCTGAGTTTTTTCGAGCCCTGTTAGAAAGTATCAAGATTTAGAAACAAAGGTTTATTTTGGGAGGAACTGGAACTAAAGAACATCTTTTTAACCACTTAACACAAAATTTTAAATCAAATATTTTATTCTTCGTTTAATTAAACGCAGAAATAAATTTAAAAAAAAAAAAAAGATAAAACCGTTCACTTTTTTAAACTTACTAAATTTCTTTTATAAAGAGATTCTCCATTATTTATGCGTCAAAAATAGATTTTAGAATATTTGTTTGTATATAAACAATAATCAAGTCATATATTTAATAATAATTTGTTATCTCACGTGCAACAAAACATAACAAAAGTATATTACTTTACAATTAAATATGTTTTCATTATATTTAAGTTTACATACGGCATTGTAATCATAGAAGTTAAAGACATCTATGAACTTCTCTCGAGGTTAATAATGAAAAACTAACAGAAGTTCATTTTAAGATAAAAACGAAAAGTAACTTCCATTTTTAAAAATTCGAGTGTTTTGGAAATTTTAATTTTCCGTATTTCTTTTTCAAAACCGGGTTTATTTTAAATGTTTAAAACTCCCCCCCTCATTGTTTGCAACATGAACAAATATGTAGCATAACTTTTTAATGTTGTGAAAATTAAATTGAATTTCGAAAATTTGAATTGAATAGATTCTCCCAATTTATAAAAATATGATATAATAATAACCACTGATGTCGCAGTTGTTCAACTTTTGGGGGGGGGGAAGTAAATTAAATCGCATAGTCACTAAATTTCAAACAGGAGAAAAAAAATTATTAAATGTACTAAATATTTGCAAAAAGATTAATTATTTTATCCCTTAACTTTAATTTTAAGGAATTTATACCGATGGTAATTCAAGAAAATTTTCTTTATTTATCTGAAATATTGAGGGAAAATTTTTAGATATTTCTAATTATTGTGGATGACAAACACCAACTTTTCGTTTTGCCAAATGGTGTCCATATATCTTAGGTAAAGTTTGATGGGAAAAAAATCTAAGAAAAGTTTGAAATATTGTACTAATTTATCTTAGTGTTATTTGACACATACGTTATGTTATGTTGACAATGTATGGTTGATTACATAAGTAACTGTGCGGTTGCCGCACCTCCGATCACCATCGAGAGAAAGGGAGTACAAGTACATTGTTAATTTTTTGCTGGAAAATATATTTCACCAATCAGGTTTTTATATTTCCATGACGGCATTTGGAGGTGTATGAACCGCATGCCAAAATTGTGATGGCATGTCTTCGGATCATCCTCCGGGATGTTTCCCAGACCGTCGCCAATAGCCCATTGTTCAGCTCTAGTGCGACGTAAATTAACAGCAACGACAATTTTAAATATTCGTTTCTGGTGTGAAAGCTTATATTAGATATTATTTTGCACAGAAATAGGTAGCTGGAAGCCTGTAAAGCGTTATTTGGTTTTTTGTTTATTTTTGCCGGCGGAGAAGGGAGAAAGCTCCAGAAAAGTGATTAAAAATAGAGGAAAACCATCCTTTTTTATACAGTGCCGTATTTTCCTTACTTTGTGTAACACTAGAATTAAGAGATGGGAGAGGAAGTAAAAATTCGGTTAAGTATCTCTTTATAATATCTAGAGTTGTTTTATATAATATTTCTCTTTGTTTCTAAATAGAACACTTTAGTTCTATTTGAATTGTTTCGTTTAAATTAGCAGTGTTAAACTTTTTTTCTTCTTTTCTTTTAGTTCTCAAAATTCATAAACTTATAAAAATTGTGTTTTTTTTAGAAGTGCAATTACATTTTTTTTTAATTTCGCATTAAAATTCAGAGATGTTTATGACTTTTTGAGGTTATATTTTTTTAATGTACTGTGCTAAAAAGTTTTTGAAAAGCCATGTTTTAAATTAAACAATCGCTTAAATTCGCTTATCTGTTCATTCGTATCGTTCCTCCTTCGTATGTATCTTTCATCATAGGAAATATTTGAATCATTAATGTTTTCCGTGTAGATCTGCATTAAAAGTGACAAAAAAAAAGAAGAAAAAAAAAAGTAGGCCTAATCGTATTATGCTATTTTCCGCAATATAGTGTGCTAACAATATCTCAATAAGAAATAAACCTGTTCAGAAAATTTTTTGTTTGAGTATTATTTTATTACAACAGTCTTTATTAGTGTAAAATAATTTGGCTTTACTGCAATAGTGCATTAATATTAAAATGTTACTATATATTTATTTGTTTGTTTTAACGTTAGTATAATAATTATTTTTCTGATAAATTTCATTGTTTGTAAACTAGGGTCAGGTGGGGTAAGTATAAAATCAAGCTTTTTTTTAAAGAAGGCTCTGAAACCAAACCATTAAATTTATTCTGAATATTTTGATGTATTTTAAATACATTGGATTTATATAGATTAAATCTGAAGCATAATTTACCTATTTTGTTTGATTGATTTCTTACAGTAATGCATTCAAAAGAGCATGTTTTGATGTACCCACTTTTTCCCAGTGTGGGGTATACTGTGTATAGTTCTAAAATTAGTATATATTTCATGAAAAAATACATATTAATATTGTTTCAGAAATAAAAATTCTCTTAAATAAATGCATCACGATCATATTTAAAAACAAAAAATGAAGATTAGAAAGTATTATTTTTCCTTCTTATTAAATTGAAGAGTTAATGTTCATGGCTATAAAAAATTAGGCTTTTCCTAATGTATCAAACTGGCCTAATAAAATTAGACCATTTTGAATCTCTTAAACACCATTCTTACTCTTCTTCATTTTTACTGCTGATGTCTTCACTTGCTATTTTATTTTTGGATTTTGCGCAACTATTCCACCCAACCAATTTTGTTCAGTTTTGATGAATTACGGTTGTGACTACAATCCCAAAGTTTGACTGCTGGAATATAAAGCTTTGTTAGAAAACAAAAATTTATCTCTATCAAATTCTATTATTTCTCAATAAAGAATTAAAAACAAGAGCTTCTGTTAAACTTACATACAACAGTTGCTAATTGTTTTGAGTCAATAGTTTTACTCATAGTTTGTAACAATATAATTTTTGAAGTGTCCACTTATGATTTTCTGATACACTCTTGGTGTATCAAAAAAGTCAAAAGTGCACACTCGGCCTTATTGTAATAGAAAAGGTGCGCAGATAATAAAAAATTCACAAATTTTAAGAACTTTAATTTTTTCCTTATAGTTTTGTTCAACAAAAACAAATAGTATGTTTGCATTTCATTTGAGACCTAGCAAATTTAGATTTAAATTATTTGAATATTTTGTAATATTTTATTCTTTTTTTTTCAATCTTGCAGTTCACCACCTGTGCAATGGGCAGAAAGGAAAAATCTTGTTTATGTCTTCTTTCATGTCACAGATACAAAGAAGCCTAAAATCAAATTGGATACAGATAAACTGTATTTCAGGTATACTTATAATTAAAATAACTTTGACAAAAATGATCCGTTTAAATAGTTATAATTATGATGAATACTAGTTTAGAAAAGCATAGTTTACATAATCTGTTTATGTGTAGTTAAATTATAATTATATTATTAAATAGAAAAGCAAAAAAAATAAATTTGCGATGTTTATGCTGAAATCTTTTTGAATTTTGTCTAAGAAGTGTTTTTTTTTTTTTTAGTTTGCATTAAATAATTGTTATAAAATTATTGTATGATAATGACCATGTCACTTTTATTGATGTTTGCCCTTGACTCTTTATTGCATTAGAAGACTCATATTAGTGAGTGGAATAACAGAGTACTCCCTAAGAATAAAAAAAAAGGCAGGGTGCTCCCTAACAAAAAAGAGCAATTTTGAAAGGGCACTCACTTAACACCATAAAAAATTATCAAAATGTGTAATATTATGTAATAACTGAATTTGACCCTCAGCAATATTTGAATTAATCTCTGACACTATTTCATGTGTGTATCTCAAAAAGTAATTTTCACTCATTATTAAAATAAGGGAAAAAAATGTAGTTTATAAAAATATTTAAATGCACGCTAAAAGATGATCACTGTGCAAAATTTTTTTTTTCAAGAAAAGTAAACTAAAAAGAAATGATTATTGATAAAAAATAAACTTGAAAACTTTTTCTGTAATTTAAACTGAAAATTATGAGCAAATGAACATTTAAAGATGGCTTTGTTTTAAGTATTTAAAAAAATAATTTTGAAATTTAAAATCACTTAAAAAAATTCATTAATATACCTTCCGAAAAAGGAGAAACTTATGAAAATTTAACAAGTTGAGAATAATCCTGCCAAAATAAATATTTATATTGGTAATCAGAATTAAATCTTTAAACACAGATAATTTTACCAATGTGTATTTGTTATTTGAACAATGAATTAATTTTTTTTAAGGGAAAATAATAAAAAGGCAGTGTTTATAAAGGATGGTGGCTTATTTTTACAAAAAGAGTAAGGAGGGCAAGCAAAGTAGGCCTACTTTCTAAAAAGGCTTAGGGAGGACACTGTAATAGTTAAATAGATTGAATCTTTTCATGTATTTAGTAAATGATAAGAAGTAAAAAAAAATTTAGTTAAGTAATTATTGCAATAATTTTTTGGTATCGTTTAAGTGTTAATAACTAAAGTATGAAAAATATTTTAACTTTTGAATGAAATTTCTTGTGTAGAAAAAAAAAAGCTTCCTAAAAAGCAAACTTTTTGTTTGATCCATACAATGTTTTTGTATTTGATTAATGTACTTTAAAACTATAAACAGTTCAAAAAATGTAAAGAAAAAAAATGGTTATTAAAATCATAATAACAAAAATAGCTTTTTTAACAGTTTTAATATTTTTTTTAGCACTTTTAATTTAAACTACTTACTCCTGTCAGCGAAAGAATGAACCTAATATGGTTGCAGGCTCATGATTAAGTTAGCATCTAGTTTCTTACTATTTTCTAACTAAACAAATACACAAAATGTTCTTTGGTTCAGTTATCAAATAAAAAAATATATATATATATTAAACCATAAATCAGTCATATTAATTATAATTCATTTAGCCTCTAAAAGTAATACTGAGAACAAATCTAATTACTCGTCCTGTTTATGATGACATTTAAGTAAAAAAATCCTTAGTTTTTTTCTTTTAATTATTGAAGTAAACTTAAGTATAATTTTGAAGCTACTGTAAAAAAATAACAAAATGAAAAATACTTGACTTACCTTGAAGCTTAGTGTATTCTTCCATTAAGTTTTGTCTTCCATTTTTCAAAATATTTTTAGGGCTAGAAATGGTGAAGGACAAGAGTTTGAAACAACACTACATTTTTTCAAGGATGTAAATGTGGAAGTAAGTTTTTTAAATGTATATTTTAACCCTTTATTTTTTTATCTGTATTTTAACGTTTGACGGTTGTGCTTTTTCTAGAATTATAAATGGCTAGTCTTTGTTACACTCAACTTTAAATATACTCTGTATTTTCCCTTATTCTTAATGTGACTCATTCCTTTTTAACTTTATTTATTTTATCAATTTTTTTTTAATGATATTATTTTCTTGATTCTCATCTTAGAGTAAAAGTTAGATTGTTTCTTATTTTTAAAGAAATCAAATTGATTTATTTTAATCTTTAATTATTGTTTTGAAATATGACCCGTTTAACTGTAAGATAAATTGAATTGAAAGTTTATTTTGATGTAATGTGTATACATAAGGTAAAAGATTCCAAATAACATGTATATATTTTAAATAATGGTAATGACAATTGTTAAATAAAATTATCTTGTGCTTTTAGTTAATTCATAGCATTTTTCTGATATATTGCTGGATTTTTTTAAATTCAAATAGACTAAAAATAACAATGAAAAACAATCTAAACGGTATTAAAGATTCTATTTTTTGTATTTTATTAAAATGCTGAAATTACTTGTCCCGTTTTTAACTGTCCCATTTTAATCGTTGTTTATGATGAAACTTTCCAATAATATTGATAACCATTTTAATGTAATGAAGCTGATACACTGTGCTATACGTTTTTAATGCTTTCAATCATATTTTAGTGTATGTTTGTATAGTATATTTGAGTTTATTCTATTTATACATTTAATATATTTATCAGTTTAGTCTTAAAAATACAGAGAATTATAAATTTTCAATTGATACTGTACTTTTAATATAATTTTTTTTCCAGAAATCTATTAAATATTAATAAATGTAGTAATTTTTATTATTTTTTTTTTATGTTCAATAAGTTTATTTTGATAGTTAGGTGTTTAAACTCTTTTCAGAAGTTCAGGTTTTAGACACCTTGATACAGTTTCCTATAATTAGTAGTAATTTTAAGTATAATGTGTCTTACAAGTTAAAAAAACTAATTTGTAAATGTCAGAAATGCATTTTGAATTAATTCAGAATATTTACATAAGGGAAATAATTATTTTGCTGGAAAACTTGATTGGATTTGACGTATAAAGATAGATCATAAAGTTATAATCATCAACTGGTCAGTATGTTGAGAGAATAGCTCATAAATAGTTTTTATAGAGGAATAAAAATATGCCACTGTAAGACTTTTAATGAAATTAATTTTTGTATATTTCAAATTTTAAAATTTTGATTTTATCTTATTTAAAAACAGTTATAAAAAAGCACCTAGTAACTAAAAAGCTAAGTATGAAAAGAAAAAATTAAAAAGAGCTCAGAATGTATAATTAGTTTGCAGGCTTTTTAATATCCAGATCTCCAAGAGGGTTCAAAGAACATTCTCTTAATCTCCTTGCAGATTTCCCCATTTGAAAAACTAAGTTTTTTGAGGAGTTCGAAAAACATAAGATATTTTTAAGAGCACATGTTACGCATTAACGTTAATACTAATTTTATTTTCAACCCCTCAGTGATGCTGCAATTTGTTCGATGAATCTCAAATAGCATTAATGGCAATCCTATTACATTGCACAAATTCTCTCTATTTATGAGCTATATCATTTGATAACTTTTCTCTATCTGGAGTAAGTTTCTTTTTTCTAAACTGCTAGAAGTCTGTATTTATTACAAACATGTCTGTTTCTCTTTTCCTTAGTTTACATTGTCACATTGCTTTTTTACATTGTTAGATTTTTTGTTTGTAAATCTTGTATTATTTTATATTTACGCTATTGACCACATGCATATAAATAAACTTCGTCTTAATTTTCTTCTAACAGTTTGTTTAATATTAAGAATAGAATTGATTTATCAACATATAATTTAATAAATTGTATTCTAGACTTCAAAATATTCAGTGACTGACAGAGGCATTGACTTTATTCTTAAGAAAGTAGAAGCTGGCCCTTACTGGAACAAGCTTTTGAAAGACAACAAAAAAGTAACTATGCCAGATTATTTTTTTAAAAATCTTTGTTTAGAGTGAATTTTATTGTATTTCTTTGTCGCGTGTTTCAATGCATGCAATAAAAATCACATATTTTTTCTATCTAATGCTGTAATAAGTTATAACAAACACAATGAATTGTATGGTAAATGTCTTAAAAACATTCAGAATTTCAAAAAAAAAAAAAAAAAAAAAAAACTTTTTTTTAAAAACATTAAAATCATTTCAAATTTCATTTTTTAGTCATTATTTATTTATTATTTACTTATTTAAACATTGAAACATTTTAAATACTTTGTGTCTTATAAGATGTATAATGATACTGAGGTTAAAATAATGTAATTTTCTTCTAGAGTACAAGTTCAAATTTTAATTTCTTTTTTTCTTCTATTTTAAGTGATTGTACAGATATGGTATATGTTTTAATGTTTGGGAATAATTATTATAATAAAGTGTTTGAATAAATATCAACTCTAATCTTTTTATAACACACACCAAAAAAAAATAATAATAATATTTTATGTGCATATTTCCTTCAAATTAATGATTCAGATATTGCACAGAATTTCATGTTGTTAATTATAAAGATAGTGTTAGTGTCTGAAATCAATTTTAATTTTTAAAATTGTTTTTTTTTTTTTTAACTTTTTGTATGGCCATATCTTTCTTGTAATGTTAAATGTTTTTTTTTGCATTTGAGTTAGATTTATACAAATAAATTTATTTTGCTTATTACATAAAGTTAATTTGATTTTAATAACCTTTTTCTTTCTTTTGTGGCAAGTGGGTGAGATTTAAAAAGAAAAAAATATCATCAAGAACTTGCCTCTTACATGAACATTTGTGCTTATAAATGTCCAAATTTATTAATTTTGTGTTTCTAACTAAAAGAAAATCTGATCAAATGAGCTATTAAGACAAATTTATGTTGAGGGAAATAAATTGTCCTGCTGTTTAAATGAGCAATATCATACATAAATGGGAAAAATCGAGATAATTATTTTATTTCTTGTACAACATCATTTCAACTTAATTTTTTTCTTACAATCTTAATTCTTTATACGTGGAAGACCACTGGCCGAGTTATTTTCTTCTTAAGTAAAGAAACACTTTGCTATTTTTAGGAATTCTCTGATACTTTTCGAAAAATACACTTTTTGTTGATCATATATCCTCATTTTTCTTCTTGACAATTTATCATTAAAATCAATGTTCTACTTTACCAACCATGTCAAAAGCATCTTGCAAAAACTTGTGAAAATTCAAGACATTTTTGTTTTTAACTTGTTTGAATTTTAATGCAATTGTACTTTAGTTGCATTCTTTTTTATTGCTATTTTAACATTAAATTCTGTGTATTCGTTTATATCATCAAGCTTGCTGTAATAATAATTCCATTTGCTATTGTGAATAGCTGTTGCAACTCACATTTACTGAATATTTCTTTAAGCAATTTAGTTAATTATTTCTTTTGTATTTTCAGTATCCATGGTTAAAAATAGACTTTAATCGCTGGAGAGATGAAGATGATTCAGATATAGATTTAAATGATGAATCAGATTTTGAAGAGGTGGGTTTAGTTTTTTTGTACACATATGTTTAACATTGAGATTATTATGAATTACTCAAGTACTAAATGAATTTTATTTTATTTTGTGAATTAAAATCATAAAGTTTTTTTTTTATTCATTTAAAAAAATTAAAATTCTTTTTTATGTACAATATTTTAAAAAATATAATTTTATGACAGCATTTCTAATTTGTATGTTCAATTACATTCAATAGTTTTTTCAAATAAGTTTTCCTATTAGGCAATTGAATGAATAAATTATTACTTTTAATATTATCTTATAGAATAAGAAAAAAATTGACATGCAATATTAACAGCATATTATTACTCCAGAAAAGTAAATCATAAGTTTTTTTTTTAATAATAAATTGTTAATGTTAATAAAATAAAAACTTCTAGAGCTATTTCCAAGTGTAAATTAGCCAAAATCATGAGATTGGGTCATATACAAGTAAAGGATAACATATTTTTGTTTTAGATGATGAAAAGAATGAGTGGTTTACAATCAACAAGTAATGATTTAAATGATTTGGTGAGTGGTTAGAGTTGTTTAACTAACCGCTGCTTGTTTCTAACATTTCTTTTTAATTTAGGATGCTTTTTTTTATGATTGCATATCAACTAATCTGACTAACATAATAACACTGACTTAAATCTGCATCTAAAACTGTTAATATCAACTGAAACATTATTTATTTTTTAATATCCGTTTTGGAATATAAAATTAAATATTCCAATCTATTGTTAACTATCTCCATTATCTGTTAGTTAAAATGTTCTTTGTAATTAATTTTAAACTAATTTTTTAATTCAAGTTATTAGTTTTATTATTTATTTATGATGATTTTTTATTAGATTTTTTATAATGCATCCAGGTTACAAAAGTAACCATAGAAAAGGAGAACATGTAAAAGTCAATTTTATCATCATAGAAAATGTCAATTTTTTAATTGAAATACCCGAAATTTAAAAAAAAAAAAATCCATTTGAGGTGCATTAAAATTCAATATTTTTTTACAAATTCTAAAAGATATTTTCTGATGCTCAATTTTTAATCAATTAATATAAATAGATAAAAATTTATTAAAAGTTTTTTTTGTTGCCTTTTTAATGTGTTTATGTTTATTATGTTTATAAAATTATATAAAAACTTCAAGGAAATATTTTTTATTAAGGGAACTATTGCTTTTCTTTTCAGATTTAAAAATTAAGTTCAAAATATTTCTGAGAGGAAAAACTGCAAATTTATTTTTAGCTCCTAAACTTGCATAATTACTACTTATTTCAGGCTCCTAAAACTTTTTTTGCCAATTTTCAGATACATAAGCAAAAGAAAATTGATGACTTTCTTTCAAAATTTCCAAATAATATTCTTTAATTAACTAGAATTTTTTTAAAATAAAGAGTTTATAAGACAAAAAAATTTAAGAAATAAGTTCTAAAATCTATAGACTTTTTTATATAGACTATCAATTATTCCTTTATTAAATACATTTAAAGGTGTATAAGAGCTTTAATTCAAATAATAAGTCTTTAACAATATTTATTTTGTGTATAATTTTTATCTACCTTATATTTGCTAATTTTATTGTATGTTACATTAAGTCTATTTTTTACTATAATAAGTCTGTCTGACTGTGTTAGGAACACTGACAAATTTAAATTCATGAAGATGATTTTTATATTTGCATTTTAAATTATGCTGCCGAGGTTATATCCTTCCCATTTATATTGGAGGCTACTAAAGTCATTTGTTGTTAGTATTTCCATTTACTTTCATGAATACTGAAGTCATTTTTTGTTAGTTGTAGTATTCCCATTTGCATTGGTGATTACTAAATTCAGTTGTTGTTAGTAACCCCACTACATTGAAAATTTGGTGTTAAGTCATGTGCTGTTAGTGTAAGTTTCTCACTTACATTGAGGGTTACTGAAGTAATTTACAGTTTTTTATTTACAATGCTGAAGTCATGTGGTATTATTTACATTTTTTTTTCATTTAACTCTTTAAAGACCAAGTGGCCTGAAGAAGTCCGGACTACTTAACGACCGTCTGGGGTCAGTGGGGAACTCTGAAGGGTGAATGGGTAGTAGTGATTGGGAGGAGGTGAGCTGCTTGACAGTGATGCATAGGAACTCATTGACAGTCAAAAGGAAAGAGGTGTGCGAACTTCACGCTTTATTTAGAAACATTTCCCCCTGTGGTTTTAGAGAAACACAAAATCCTCTTAATTTGTAACAGATTTGTTGAGATGGACCTTTTCATTTATTTATTAAAAATTCGGGAATGGCGGGCTTTTGGGAATTTATTTTTGAAATCCCCGCGTCCACTAAAACAAATATCTTTTTAATAAAATTGCAATGTGTTAACTGTTGACTACCAAACGCAAATTTGTTATATAATTAAAAGTGCACCATCATAAATACCGAAATTACTGAAAAAAATTTGGATAAAGCCAACGTTGTATAATGCTTTCTGTTAATCACTGATATTNAAAAAAAAAAAAGCGTGAATTTAGTTAATATTAACTGAAACAAAAAATAACTAAAAAAATTGTTCTTGTTACTGAATTTTCGACACATTTTCAAGAGGATTTTTTTCTTCTATTTTTGCATGATATAGGCATTTGAAGATAATCTGTTTTAAGAAAAAATAACCCCAAATTTAAAAAATAAATAAAATAACAAAAAATTTATGTATAAATAAAAGGAAGATATGGAAAAAAAAATCTCATTATTTACTTAATTCCTGCTTTTGAATATTTAACCAGAAAAACGTTCCAAGGGGAAAAAATAAGCAAGCCGATTGTCAGTTTGAATGCCATGAAGTTTCACTGACAAGTAGAGCACGCCTTTGATTTATTAGTGACGTGGGGGAGCAAATGACCTGCTGAGAAGCAAATGACTAAAGAGAACCCCCAACAAAGTGGGTGAGTTCATTTGTGAATTTTCTCTTCTGAAAAGCTGAGGATGTTAACGGTAGTAAAATTTCCACTGCTTGGGTCTTTAAAGAGTTAAAATGTGAGTGACTAAAGTCATTTCATGATAATGATTTTTTTCATTGTAGTTTTGCACTTAAATGGTCAATTGAATAACATCAATTTAGTATTTTGTTTCACAAGTTATTAAACTTAACTTCATAAGAAGAGATCTATTAATTTTTCATAAGAAAAAGGTTTCTTATTATTTGTGCAAGTTGAAAAATAAACACTTTTTATTTTCTTGAAAATTGTGTCTTATCTTACAAATTTTTTTTTTTCTAATTGTGTAAACTAAGCTTTTATTTCTAACAATAACAACATACTAAGCAAGCTTTATGTTAATAATTGTGACTGATCCTACTTAAAATCTAATGCATGGTATTTAAAACTTTGTATTTATTATTATTATTATTATTTTTTTTTTTGTAGGGTTCTGAGTCTGATGATGAAGAAGAAAAAGTTTAATATGTGATTTCCAATACCCCATTTGTACTATATTTTCGCCTTACAAATATTATATTCCTTTATCGCAAAATATATTGAAAAATAAAAAAAAAATTCATTTAAACGTGCTTCATTTTTTGAAAAATCTCAGCGTAATATAAAAGAATGGGAGGGGGGTACTAGAAATATCTGAACTATATAATTAGCATATTTAATGGGATGGATAAAAAAAATGGAAGCGTTTGAAATCTCTTTATCGTAATATGGAAGAATGGCCAACAATCATCATGCAGAAATATTTAAAATTTTATAATTATGAATTGATATTCTTAATGAGTCAAAAGGTGTGAAAATTTCTTTAAAAAGGCTTAAAATTCAAAAAGTTTAAAATTTTGTTGATCGCCTTGCAATGACACTAAAAAGTACTGTTTCTTAACCCTGAGTTTGCAAACATTCGTCTCACAGATATGCTTATGAATTGGACAGTTTAAATTAAAAATCTGTTTATGTTTATAAGCATGAATGGAAAATGTTTTATTCGTCTGAGGGACAACCTACTCATATCGAGCAAAATGAGCTGCTGCTACCAGCCACAAAGTAACTAAATATAGTGAGTGGCGGTTAAAAAATTGTCTGCCAGTTGCCACCCAATTGCCATTTTTTAGTCAAAAATGCACCCCAAATGAATTTTTAAATTTTTTAACAAATGTGAAATTACTATGAATATTTTATAATCAGAATATTCCTTTATTTCAAGTTTGTTTTTTCAATATTGAGCCTTATAATGTTTACCACATTTTTAGAATGCTTCAAAAGTCATGACTTAATCTAGAAGTGTAAAGAATTTTTTATTAAGGGGCTATATGTTTTAAAAAATGGCCACTGAACACTAGCAAAATGCGACAAGCGCAATACTAATTATTTAACAATCTAAAAAGTTTCTTAGAAGTTCATCTTAGTTTCACTTTTAAACTTACAAGTCTTTACATACTTGGCGCCGTCTGTGAAACAAATGTTTATTAATCTAGCTTTAATAAATACATCTGTGTAGAACTTTGGAGACCAAGCTTATTTTCTTCTGTTGTTTCAACAAGTGTGGATTGATCCATCGAGGTGACTGAAAATACCAATACAGAAAATACAATTCTCTATTTACAATGAATCAATCCAAACTTTTGTTGCTGTTGCTGTGGCACAAAATATTAAGTTATAATTGGATTCTTGCGAGCAATGTCACACGGGGGTCAGCCAATCAAGTTTGACACACACGCACGACAGCACTTGCAGATATTCAACCGAATCTAATCTGAAAATTAATTCATTGTGATAATAAGCCAAAGCTTTAAAGTTGTTATGTTAACAGACCAGCAAAATCACGTACTTAGACACAACTATTTGATTAGTTACAAGTAACTAATTCTGTGTCTCTGGGCATATAGTGTGCACCTCCCAATGAGGTGACGCCGTTTCAAATCCTGAGAGCGGTTGGGTCTGCTTCTGGCTAACACCGAACCACAGTGCTGACTTAAAATATCCTCAGTGGTAGATGGGTTATGGGTAAGAATCTCCTTGTCGTCAGGTTAACCGTGGGCTGTTTAATTTTTTTCTCCCCTGTTATACAAATTCGAGTTACTACCGTCAAAATGTCCGCAAAGGCTAGTTTGATCCAAGAGTTCTCTTTTCTTCTGGATCAGGCTTAAAATTACATGGCTTCAGAATTGAACACTGATGGTCATGAACTCAGAATTGGGTGCTGGTTATAAAATTAAAAAAAGTACTCAATTCTAAAGTTGTGTATAACTGTTCTTATTATGAAATGGTAATTTTTAAGCATATTGTAACGAAATCTATATCTTATGAATTTGATGTCAAATTTTAACTTTTGACTTATTGAGACAGCAGAAGATATCAATTTAGAGTTATAAGATTTTGCAGACTACTTAATCATTATAGTTAACAACTTTTTCTTGCTTTCACTAGTGTATTTAATGTACTTCAACTTTTTCAACATATTCTAATATTTAGTGAGTCAAAAGTATCCGGTCACCCAGTTGTTACGGTGGTGGAACCATAATGGTGTGGGGGTGTTTCTCATTGGATGGACTGGATCCGTTCATTCCTGTGGTTGGAAACATGAACTCTGAGATGTGTGTGGGCATTCTGTACAATGCTGCACTCCCAACTCTATGGCAATATTTCGGGGATGGCCCATTTCTCTTCCATCGGGATAACTGCTCCATTTACACACCGAGGCTTGCACAGACATGGTTTGACGATATGGGTATTCCAAAACGGAACTGACCATCTCAGAGCCCCAATCTAAATCCTATAGAACACCTTTGGGACGAATTAAAGTCTCAGATTACGTAGCCAGCCAAATCAACCATCCTCACCACAAGCACTCACTTAAGCTGTGATGGAATACTGGAAGTCAATTCCTATGGCCACTTATCACAAACTGGTGGAAAATCAGGTGCATATGTGTCCAGGCTGTCGTCGATGCAAAAAGGGCGCCAACATCATATTAATATGTACTTCAGGACGTTCTAAGTCCATATTACTGGGTGTCCGGACACTTTTGGCCCGGAAGTTTATATTTTAAATGTAACTTAACACGTCTATTTAACATAGTTCACATTTTTCAAATAATATCACGGCTTATTCATGTAAAATATAAATAAATTAAGTTCAACATGTTTATGAACTGCTTATCTCGCATTGCAAATTAGCAAGAGCTGAAGAATAACTGGGAGGGCTTTCTTCTGAATGAGTATCTTCTTTAACTGTCTCCTTCTTTGGCACTAATTGACGCAAGAAGTCCACGAAACGCTGATTTCGAGTGACTTCATTAGCACTAGCTGCGGACATTACGGAGTCGTAATCAGGAGGATGGTCATTCTCCGGAGGTCGTGATTCGTCATCAACGTAAGCAGGGTTGAAATGCCCATCTGTGCTGTCCCAGTCATTGTCATCTAGAAAGACTCGCCTGATGACGAACGCGTAAAAAATATGGATAAAGAATCCAGTCATAAATGCTCCGAAAAACACCCAACCAAGAAGAAAGAAAGGGTATTTCTGTTGTACAAGCTCATCTTTAAAGATGTGTTTGGTTTCATTGTCCCAAATCAGTTTTGAGTAGTTGGTAGGGTTGTAAAACGATGAGAAAAGTACTGCTGTTTCAGACAGTATATCTGTGTGAAAAGAAAAAGAAATTAGTATAGGAATCAAACAAGAATGGATATGGGTTTCATAAAAAGAAGTTTTACCAATCATAACTTTTGACTTAATAATCAGATTCATTCTAAAATTCAATCCTTATTGCTCAAGAGTTAGTTTTACTCACAGTGGTCGGAAGTAGCTCATTACAAGTAATGAAACTACTGTAGTCGTTACTTTTCTTGTAGTGTAGTGAGTAGTGCAACCCAAAAAAAACAGTAGTTTGTAGCTATCCTGGTAACTACTTTTAACTTTAGTTAGGAATAGTAAGACAGCCCTAACGCAATTAATTTTTCGAATTTGATGGGTACAAATCTTTGCCAGATCCGTCAATGGATGTAATAAAAATGACCCTATGGCTGCAGCTGAGCGTTAGTAGAAATTACGTATTTAAAATCAGGTGTAACTTATATACAAACTAGCCATTACGAAAAATTAATAATTAATCACTTCGGCCACACTTTCATTCGAATGCACACTCATGAAACATGGATGTTATTTCAAAGGAAGGGAAAGTATTTTTGACAGGGTTGGGGTTTTGGACGTCCTAAACTGGTTTTGGACAGGACACATGGGTTTTACTGTCTTAAACTGGGTAAAACTGTCCTTAACTGTTTAAAACTGTCCTAAACTGGGTTAAACTGTCTTAAAGTGTCCAATACCTTGAACTTTNAATCATAACTTTTGACTTGATAATCAGATTCATTCTAAAATTCTGAAATTCAATCCTTATTGCTCAAGAGTTAGTTTTACTCGCAGTGGTCGGACTTTCATTCGAATGCACACTCATGAAACATGAATGTTATTTCAAAGGAAGGGAAAGTATTTTTGATGTACTTAATTTCTTAGAGGAAATATAAGAGCATTAAACAATTGAAAAATTGCTAGTATTTGATAGTTTCGCCTTTAAATATTGACTGTCGGAAAAAGGCATAAAAAGTTAAAGGTCAAATGAACGAATTCGAAAAAAGAATTTTTTTTTTTTTTGAATGACAAACTGGCTTATGTAAACATGAATAAATAATTCGTAATTATTCCCTTATATTTAATGTAAACCAATTTCTTATTCGAAAACATTTTGAACAGAGATGTAAATCAAGTTCTCCAGCAAAGTTCGTCTTCTTAAAGTAAGTTAAGTAGTTACTACAATTCTATAGAAGTTTGTAGTCACTACATTTAAAAAAAAAAAGGTTGTTGTATTTAACTACATTTGTAACAAAGTAGTTGTAGTTAATTACACTTGTAACAAAGTAGTTGTAGTTATAGTAAACTACAAAAATAATGTAGTTTTTTGAACCACTGCTTTCACCCCATTTACACGAGGCCTGTCAGCCGTGTTCTCTTTTTAGAACTTGTCCCTTTTTCAAATTACCTTGGTTACTCAATTATTTAATTGTTAGTAAAACATGCACATGTTTTTCATCTTATTTCAATAATAATAAAAAATCCATATTTTGAAACATTGTTGTGTTTTTAAACCTAATTGGTAGCTTAATGAATGCCCTTATTTTCAAAATTTTCTTAGAAAGCAAACTTAAAAAGTAACAAAACAAATAAAATGTAAAAAAAATTCAAACGTTACATTCAGGGAAAGAAAAAATGTCTTCAAAGGAATTTCAGGGGTCGACAGTTTTGAACAGAAAATTAAAACACTAAAGATTCGTAAAGAATATTCTTCTAAAAATTTTATAAAATTGATCAAAACGTAAACTTTGTTTGATGCAAAGTTAAATTTTTTTCTTATTTCAATTAAATCCCAAACACTTATATTACTGAAATAAATGTCGAAGTTGGCGCAAAAATCAGGGATGGGTGTTGCAACTTTCTTACGCAAGTATGAGGGGCGTGTGACTTGCTTATTTTTGCTGACAGAGGGGGATTTTTTTTTTTACGACCGTCGTTGAACTGCAGACCCAATTTTGGGTTTACGACTACTGATTTTCAACTCCTTATCCTTGTAATTTTGAACCCAATCCGGAGGACAAGAGAACTCCTTGTTTGAGAGAAATTTTGCCTTCATGGAGGACTTTTTGATGGAACTAACCCGCATTTGCGTTGCTTGACGAGGAAAACCTTCCATGGTAAGCCTCACGGCAAGGGGACTCTTACCCGTGATCCGTCTACCTCTGAGGAATTTTTACGTCAGCACTGTGGTCGGTGCAAGCTGGATTCGGAATTCGTATTGACCAGTCATTGCTGGGATTCGAACTCTGTATCACCTGTGCCATCGCGGCTTTTGGGGGCACAAGGGAGATGTCGAGAATATTCTTACAGGATATTTGAACGGTCCTGAAGAGTAGGAGGATCAGAATATTTTTTTTTCTTAATGATATTCTTCTTGCAATTTCGAAGTTAAAAAAAATTTAAATTTAAATTCTTTTATTATGTGAACTTTCTTGCGTTATTAGTTATTTAAAGATCATTTTGTACGTAAACAAGATGCATATTTAATAAAAAGTTGCGTGTTTTGCAGACTTCCTGACAGTTCTGCGCCTAGATGCTCTGAATTTCTAAATTCGTACCTATTTTGCGTAATAAAATTGTTTAGTTGAATTGAGATTGATCAATTTCAACTAATCATTTAGTAGATATTTTCTTTTTGTTTAAATGGCTCCTATATTCTACTCCATCTACGAAAATTCTCTTCTACTCCTACGGAAAAAAAAACATGAGTTTGCCTCCGATCTTGAATCTCCTGTCAATAAATACTTAGCAATCATATTTCCTCGTGCAAAACGAGTTGTTTCTAAAAAATTTTAAAACATTCATTTCGTTAGTGTTAGCGTCACCAATTTCCCTTCGTCAAAATTCTGTTTTGCTGTCACTTTAGCGAGTCCTTACATAGATTAAATCATTGTTACCAGTTTTGTAGAAATATTAAGGATTTTAAGACATTATAAAGAAATTTTATTCATTAATTTTAAATTGCAATTTTGTAACTTTAATCGTAACGCTGAATGTTCCCAAAAGGTGTTTTCCCCCAACCCTAAGATCCCTTATAAGTGTCACATGGGATTCCATGATTAACAATGTCTTTTTAAACGAGTAATGCGTTTTGAAATACCTAATTACATTTATATGCAATCAATAAGTCATTATTAATTTAAAATTATAGTTATTTTTATTATATGAAAGTAAATGAATTAGAACGACTATAATAGGTAGCCAATAATGAATAAAATAGCAAAGATAAAAAGAATTAATGAATTGAATAATTTATGAAAAGGACACGCATTTATATACACGATACTCAAAAAATAGTTATTTCACGATTCATCACGATTTTGCTCAGCTTATTCTCTGCTTGCTTACATCATTTGATATTTCACATGGGCAATTATTTTTATTAGTCTTTTCCACATTGGCACCTTTTTTTAGAAAAAAAAATCTTTCGAAATAACCCTTTGTTTTATAATTGCCTACACGTGCTGATAAAACGAAACTCGATAATGTCAACTTTTAAATATCAATAAAAGATTAACAGTTTACACGCTTATTAAATGGATATATTACTAATTAAAATGAAAACTTACCCATTTTAATACGTATTTTCTTTAAAAATTTAATTATGTAATCAACATATTTAGTATTTTAATTCACAACGCAATGTGGAAAGGCGTCATTGTATACAGGATGAAGAGTTTCAAAAAAATAATAAAAGTAGACAGCAGACCTTATCTCTGTAGCTGGGGTAACGGATAATCTATTTCCAGAGACGTTAAAATAAAAGCATCTTTTTTTTTTATTCCGATAAATCGATACTTTTGTGTATCAAAATTTTGATAAAGTTCAAAATGTTTTAATAATTTGAAGGCAACTTCATAATTTTCTTTTTATCGTGGCTTAAAAAAAAACTGTTGATTTCTTGGTCTAATATCGGGGACCTCCTGTGGTCCAAGCTTTAAGTAACGGCAGAAAATACGATTTTTTTTCTAAGTAGCCAAGAAGAAAGTAAACACATAAATGCAATAAAATATTTTTGAAACTGATTCAAATAAATTAACTTTAACTAGTTAATTTATTTGAATCAGTTTTACAGTCTTCCTGCTTTCGATCCAGTTTTGACTGCGTCTGCAGGGTGTTCGGCGCTGCCGCTCATCAGGTTTTGGACCAGAAGTTTGCTCCTTGGTCTTAGTCGGGCCTCCTTTGCTCTCGATCGTAACTATGGTGCATTTCCTTCTTGCGTGACTCGGGGCCTTGCCCGGTGTCTGCGTATTGCTTGGTTCTCGGACTGGGCTGGGTTCTGTCAAGGCGATGAGGCATCTTACATTTGGCGTATGGGCCCATAGACATGGGTTGCTGTATTAAATTCCTTAACTAGTTAATTTATTTTTATTACAGAACAAAATTAATAAATTGTGAAATTTTAGTATTTTTTTTTTTGTATGTAGGATAATTTTATAATGTATTTCTGTACAATTTGTTTATAAAACAAAATCCACTAGACTCGAATAATAGGGAGAATTCGGACTTTTACGTTAGCGTCCGTACTCTCCTGTACGCAAGATTTCGAGCACTTGCTCATGCTAGCGTGAATTTTAGATGCTACATATCTTTACGCAATGTTGGCCTAATGAACGCTACAAAGACAAAGCTACAAGCACCCTGTTTATAGCTGTTAAATGTTGTTTTCTGTTTAAGCGAAACTTCCAACAAAAACTTAGACATGGAATGCAAATTTGAAGAAAGGTATTGATAAAGTTTAGAAATGAATCGTGATATATATAACTACTAACTTACCTTTGTAGTTTAAAGCAAACTACTATAAGTTACGGTTATTTGTGGACCTCATGCTGTTGTTGTTGTTGTAGTTCATTTACGTCGCACTAGAGCTGCACAATGGGCTATTTTATTTTATTTTATAACCGTCGTTGAACAGCCGACCCAATTTCATGGGTTTACGACTACTTACGTTCAACTCCGTAGCCTTGTAATTTCGAACCAATCCAGAAGACAAGGAAACTCCTGGATCAGTACCCCCAGAGGTATTGATTTGTTGTGGGAACATGGAGGACTTAGAGACTCGACAGATTTAACGTGTATCAGTCACCATTTACTACACGGGGAGTCTTCGGCCGGCGAGGATCGAACCCACGACCTCTTGGATATGGGCCCAGCGTCCTACCGACCAGGCTACCCCGGCCCACAATGGGCTATTGACGACGGTCTGGGAAACATCCCTGAGGATGATCCGAAGGCATGCCATCACAATTTTGATCCTCTGCAGAGGGGATGGCACTCCCGCTTCGGTAGCCCGACGACCTACTCGCGATGTCAAGCACTTTATGGTAGGACAGTTTAACGAGGACCAATACCGCACACCCTCGGTCCCTACGCAGACTGATCCAAGTGGTCACCCACCCGCACACTGATCGCAGCCAGTGATGCTTGACTTCGGTGATCTGCTGGGAACCGTGTCTTAACGATCAGTCCACAGCGGGACGTAGACCTCATGCAGCGATCTTCGGCCGCACATCTAAATAATAAGCTGCATTCTTTATCGCTGAATTCTCCAAAATCAACCAAATTTTTCTGTTCACAGAACCACATTGTTACGCTGAGTAAAGCATCTTGAATCGTATGCCACAGCTTTGTCGTCTACGTTCACTGTAAATGCTTGCTTTGATTTCGCGGTCAAACTTAAAATGATATTCTACTACGTTAGCGTTTTTAACCAAAGGATTTTTGCAAAATCTCTTTATTTTCCCTATCATAAGTTTGATACTTTGCGCATGCGCGTTTTACCCGACCTGATGTATCGCACTAGAAGTGAGCATGCACAATTACTTAAGTCCGGGAGCGCACGGAAGCTAATGTAAATTTGCGAAATCTCCATAATAAGACATTATACGCCATAAAACTTACTGAATAGTTACTTGAATTTATAACATTATGATTTTTCATTGTAATTAAAAACTCCTACCAATTAGGGTTGAATCCAATTGTATTTTTGTATAGACAATCGCTTTGTAACGGCACACAGACAGAAAAAAATATTCTTAAAATGTTATCATTCAGGGTGCGTCGCATTTTTAAAAAGTGCTTAAAGGTCAAATATTTTCGATTTTCGTTTTTTAAAAGCCCTTAAAGGTGCTTTTTTCATTGGGTGTTTTTAAAAAGTGCTTAATTTTCCCTTTTTCAAAATAAGATTTTTCCTTTCCCATGTTGATTTTAGCTGCAAATTATGCAAAAAGACGCAGTTCACATTGGTCTATTCAACGTTTTCACAATTCATTCAACCCCAATCTATTTCGGCGTATTGTCAGTCAGTAGCGCATGAAAACGCCATTCGTTTAATATGATTCAATACTTCATGATTTTTAACAATTGTCAAAAACAATGCCAAAAGTTTTTTTTTTTTTTTTTTTTTTACATGATGGTTAAAACAAGATAAAACTGTCAATTGTCAAAAACTTTCCAGCCCTGCCCAGTTATGATATTTTTTTTAAAGTGCTTAAAAATATCTTCTGAGTGCTTGAAAAGTGCTTATTTTTTGTTGAATAATTTGGCTACTCACCCTGTCTTTTAAATGTAAAAGTTTGTTGTCAATCGTAATTATATTGAACAAATATTGGACAATCGTAAAAGTTTGTTGTCCAATATATTGGGAGTTGGGTAGGGGTTAAACTGTAAAAGTTATGAAAATATTTTAATCAGGAACAGATCAAAATTAGAGGATGGAATATTATAATTCATAACTTCAAATTGATCTATCTAAACTGATACATCAAATCACAAAGAAAAAAAATTTAAAATTTGATGCATCAAAATTGATGTATCAAATTTATATTACATCTCAATAATTGAATATTTCTTAGATTTTTTTAAATTTAACTTGTAATAGATATGAACTTTAATTATAAACGAATTCATAACACAGAATTAAATATTCTGATTTATCAACCCCGCCTCCAATTCTAACACCCGATTAGCAATCTTTTTCTGTGCCTAGCTGTTGCATGCGACTTTACTTCAATTTTACTTACTTTCAAGAGATTTCCGCTCTATCGTCAAAGTTCTTTATGAATTGAATTTTAGAAATAATTTAAAATCTGTCCGACAGCCATCAAAGCACACAAACCACTGTAAGTATGAGTCCCTGATACTTCAGCACAGAAAGCAACAAAAAGTATTAAAATTATCTCCATCTCTGTTGTGAGACAAGATAGAAAACTCATCCCAATGCTTCATTATGTTCAGTACTACTTCCTCGTTCACCTCTCGTGCCAAAACTTGTGTATAATATATATGCTATTGTCCGAAAAAGACAAGTACCGTCATCAATAATTAATATGACAGTATGCGGCATCATAACACCGTCGATGCTTGAAATTTCTTTAGCCATTTTAGTAAGGATAAAATAAAATCTGAATAATTACTTCGTAATCAAAATTTCATTTCTATAAAAATAGTAAGTTATTCTAAATAAATATTTAATGTGTAACTAACTACGCAACACTACTTAAATTATTACGTAAGACAACCTAACAAAATGAATATTAATAATACGTAACGATATATCCTTCTGTTAAGTATTTATAATCCTTAACGTTAATGTAACTATATAAATAGAAAAATACCCTGGTTATAGTTAAAGATATAGAGAAAACATGCAAAATTATATAATAAAGGTTAATGAAAAGAAAAGTTAATTATTAGAAAAAAATATTTTTAAAAAATATTTTATTTTAATAATTTTCCTTCTCTTTTCATTAATCTTTATTATTT